GGACAGCGCCACCGCCGCCGCCGCTGCTGCTGCTGCTGATGCCGCCTTGCTTGGCCCGCGCGGGGGGCGGTGATCGTGGCGGTGACGCTCGCCTTCATCGTCGCTCGTCGAGGCCTCTCGGGGCCGCCGTCGCCGCGGTGGAGAGCGCCTGTAGCGCCCGTTCTCCTTGTCGCGGCCGCGCCCGCTGGTTAGAGGGAACAACAGCAGCGGCAACGTGAATCAAGGGTGTTTGTTCGGCCGTTAATCTTCGGGGGGGCGGGGGGCGGGGTGGGGGGGGGGGTGCTTCATGTGTCGCATGCCTTAATTGCTGGACCATTGACCACGCGTCCTCCAGAGGACGGAACATTGTTCCCACAGGAATTATCGCGGATGCTCCATCGTCCCTTCCTACTTTGCCGTTACTCAGTGGTATTCGGGAGGGGGGCAAGAGCGCAGATATCGTTAGCGCGGGGGTCCCGCAATGCTTAAATATGAATGGACGGTTGCGTGGGGGGGGGGCGCATGGAAACTCATCGGCCATTTGAAACAACAGGAGAACAAATATAAGATTGTTGGGCAGAGTCCAAGCAATGGGTTGGAGGCAAGTTATGGGTTGGAGGGTCGATTCGATCACCAAAACATCCTGGGCGTAGCGAGCGCACGCGTAGTCTGAGCGGGGGGGGAGGGGCAGGGCGGACTGATTCTCAACATGGCGAAAAAGGGTTTTACTTACAACACAGAAAAGTTGGCTGCTGGATAACGTTGTTAAGCAGGGATACCCACCACCTCATTGTATCCTTCCTGTTCAACCCGACCTCGACTGTTGGACTTAATGACACAGACTAGTTGGTAAAGACCACGAGTGTAGCGGGGTAAACCACGAGTAGGGCAGCAGCGCTGCGAGTGTAGAGCACACCTTCTGCCTACTTGGCGATGTTGAGGGCTGGTGTGGTAGCATGTAGCATGGTCCCGCCGAGTGCGTGGTAAAACAAAAAATCAGGGCAGAAACGCGTCTCAGATGCCCTTCCCTCTAGGCGAAAATAGGTAACAAAATGCCGCGGGTTGCGTAAGATACCACACCCCCCGTACCGATACTCAAAGCTCCGTTTCTCCACCAAGAAGAGGATGCCGACATCAAATCGCGTGTGTGTCACGTGTTCGGAAAGCTCTCGACGAGACGGTTCCAAGGCTGCCGTTTTCGGCACCATCAGGGTTTTTTCTTGCCGAGCAATTGAGCTTCGAAACCCGGTCCAGGGAGTGTGATATCTTACGTCAACGCCCGAGCGTCACATCAAACAAACGCAATCGCCTTCGCCCGCAACGCGAGCATTGATGACCCCACGAGGCACTCTTTCTCGTCTTGCTATCTACCGCTCACGTTTTCCGGGCGTAAGCGAAGCCCAAACAGGAATTCGATGAAAATTGGAGTGTGGTCCGGGGTTGGATTGTCTATACTACATGATCGCGGTGTGGGCTGTTCCGCCGAGTAGCCCAACGTTGTCGTTGGTAGGGCGCGCGCGTCGAGGAGCATCATGCAGCAGTTAGGTAGAGCAACTAAGAAAAGACGTGGAAGAACAAACACAGCATCAGACTTTATTCGGAAAATGACATGATTGTTGGTAACACTACATCCTCGGCGGAGTATCCTACGCTGTATCTTACCCACTAGACCGTCGGCTCGGCGATGGCCACGGACAACGAGACACAAGCCTGATGCACCGAAAAAAATTCCAAAAACATTCAGTCCATGAATTCAGAGTCCATGGAATGACCCCCCAAGGACCTGTGTGTGCCAATTGCTGCATCCCAGTGCCCGCTATAGCAGTGCCAGCAAGAACTTTTGGTTCGGGCCCTGTATTGTCTGCGATTTTTCGAGAGCCAGTCCACTTGTATAGGTTTCAATGTACAGCGTAGGTTCTCTTTCCTGTGTACACAATTTTCGGCCAGCTGGCACGTCTCGCATCACAAGATTCCCTTCTATGCCATTTTCCCGAAGTGGGAACGCGATTTCAACCTTTCTACTCCCCTCGACTGTACTGTGTTCATGAACCTATACCTGGGTACGATCTTTTTAGCTAAAACGAGGGGTCCCGCGTGGACGTATCCACAGGGGGGGCAGCACTACAGTATATATCTTCGCAGGTTCATTTGAAACGGTTCAGTAACGGCGTATCCACAGCAGTCAACTGTAACTCCTATTCTCCCAGGCTTTGCGGTGTGTACAACGTGTAACGGAATCAGAAACTTGGTCATCACGAGCTAGCTGTTGGTCTGCCAGTAGGCATCTGCGTGATGGGTGGATGCCGGAACGTTGGAGGGGGGCTACAACATGTCCACGACACATGTTCGGACGTAAGATACCGGGCACATGTTTGGAGGGTACATATGACGCAGGATCTGTCATGAAGCCGTGTACAACACAGCACCGGCGTGGGGCCTTGTAGTATTTTCTTTTTGTTCAGGCAAAGCAACACCCCAGCAGTCATCTGTTTCTTCATGATCCGAGCCAATTCCGGATGCATCGTCTCTGCGGTAGCCGTGGTAGCGCTATTGTAGATGCCATGTACGAGCTCTCCCCCTCTCGCTCGGATCCAAGCAGAGACCAAAAATGAGATCAATTATTTGTGCTCAACGGGCTATTGTATGCAACCTCGCACGTATGATACACATGTAAAATATGCACTAATACCCGCGTGGTGGCAGTAGTCTCAGGCTGCCGGCCCAATTGCCCGAGAAACCAACGCTGCTCCCTCTGTGCGCTGGAAGACACAACGCACTGACTGACGTCCCTCGCAGACACTCACACACGAAGACGTACTTTGGCCAAAATTCAAAAAACGCATCGTTGCTGATAGAGCAGCAGAAGGAAGAAGAAAATCCATCTCACCTGGATGTGCTGCGATCGCGCCGTCTGGCCCGACTGCTCTTGTCCTCGTGGCCCTTTCGCTTTCGCCTCGGCGCCGCCGCGGCCGGAGAACTCGACCTCGACCTCGAAGAAGATTGAGATCTCGACCGCTGTGGCCGGCGCCGGTGGCTGCCGCTGCCGCCGCCGCCGCCGCCAGGGTTCCTACTACTCTTGCTGCTGCTATGCCTCTCCGTGCTGGAAGACGCAGACCGCGACCTGCTGCTGCTGCGGCGCCTGCTGCTGCTGCCTCTCTTCCTGGGCGATCGCGACGCGCCCCGCCGCCGCCGCCGCCGCCGCCGCCGCTGCTGGTCCAAGCGGCGGCTGCTGCTCTCGGCCGAAGAACTGTCGCCGCCGCCGCGGGCGCCGCTGGGCGTGCCACCGCCGGCTGCTGCTGCTGCTTTCGGGGAGAAAAGCAATGCCTCTTTGCCTTCCCCTGCCGCCGCGGCTCGCCCACCGCTGCTATTGCTGCTGCTGCTGCCGGCGCCGCGGTGAGTTCTCGGGCCTCGGGTGCTCGGAGAGCGGCTCCTGCTGGACCTCCGCTCACCGCCGCCGCCGTTGCCGCTTCTGTCCTTCCTGGGCTTCTCGCGGCTCCTGCTGCGGCGACGCCGGTGATCACGCCCCCCGCCTTCTGCCTCACCTACTCCTCTGCTGCTGTTCCGCCTGCGAGAGTCTTCGCTGCTGCTGCTGCTGCTGCTGCGAGGAGCACGCCTGCTGCGGATGTACCCGCTCCCCCCGACGTCATTGTCGTCGCTGCGCTCCCTGCTGCTGCTGCTGCGGTCGCTCCTGCGGTCGCTCGCGGTGCTTCGCGCGACGTTCCGCTTGCTGTTGTTGTGGTGTCTGCTGCTGCCGCCACTCTGGTCGCGGAGCTTGCCGCCGCCGCCACGCTGCTCGTATTCGACGCCGGCGTCGTCCCTGCTTCGCTCGGAGCTCGTACTCCTCCGCCGCCTGCCTCGCTCGAGCTTCTTCTTCTTCTTCTTCCCGCCGCCGCCGCCACCGTGCAGCAGTCGACGGCCGAGCTCCTCCTCGTGTCGATGTTGATGCCGGCTTGGCTCCCTGCTGCGGCCCATCCCTGCTCGAAAAAAATATCGTGAGTTGTTGAGGTGGATTGAGAGTTTGCTTCCTGATACAGAGAAGCCTGCGGCACCCACCCCGCCGTCGTGTGGACGCCTACCGGGGATCACGCAGCAGTCGTGGTAGCACGCGCCATGTTTCCCCCTTTCCGGGCGGGTGGGCGTTGGCGACTACAGGGTCAAGATACTGAGGGGGAGGGGACGACACGGCTCGCTCTCTCTACCTCTCTCTCAGGGTTTACTGACCTCCTTTTCCAAAGCCTCGCTCTGCTCCGGTATTTTTCACGCACGATGTATCTCTTCCTGTTTTTCTCACAGAGTAGACAGGTCCTCCGTCTTTGTGTCCTCTCTCTCTCTCACATAGCCCCACACGCACACTTTGGCTGTTCCTGGCAACACACGCAGACCTCCCTTCTCCCCTCTGCTGCGGAGAGAGAACTATCCCTACGTCTCCCTCAAGGCTCCACGCGCTGTTTTGTTGTCTTTGTGTTGGGGAAAACAATGAATGAGACAGAGAGAGACAGCTGGGTAGGGGGGGTATCGAATATCAGCTGCGTGCTGCGTGCTCCCTCCCGCAAACAGACAACAGCCCGCGCGGAGCAGAACACACCACCAGCTAGCACCCACAGCAAGCAGCGGAAGATGGGTCAGCAGCAATCCACTGACAATGCCAAACGGAGGAGGAGAAGCACAGCCCTAGCGGCAGGGTTCGTGACTGGATCGAGTGGTAAAGTCGAGGAGAAATATTCAATCGACGTGAGTTAATTATAATGATGGATTTGATGCAGAACATTGACTTTGAGACCTCTCTCAACCTTTTTTTGTACAGCTCCAGCGCACAGCAGCGTTGTTTGTCAACCTTTTTACATACCATGCGACGGAGCTGTTGTAGTGTTGGGCCTGCCTGTCGGCAATGGGTGTGTCTCTACGCCCATCGCTTACTCATAGCTTTATCGGGTTGACGTGGAGAATCGCGTATTGTGCCGCTCGTTTCTTCTTCACGAACGAACAGCCGCGGGTGTAGTAAATGTTCCTGAGAGTAAGAGCCAAAAACGCAGGTTGTACATATGACAGCCGTTGTGTCCATCAGCGCCGTTGGTCGCTACAGCATAACTCACATCGCCGCCACTGTAACGTAGCGTCCGTGTAGACACAGAACACTTACGCCGGACCATAAATAATTCTCCGATAGATTGGTTGGGGTGAACAATGGCTCTAACGCTCTCGGCAGGCATGGACGGCGTACAGAATAGACAGGTGATGCTTGCGTTTCGTACTGAAGCCCGGCTCGTCGTCGTACATGTGTTTGCCGTTGTACCGTGCACCAGCTGGCCGCTCACACTTCATCAACCCGACAGGCAGCCGCATGGACACAAGTCTTGTGTATTGTCATGATTCGTGCCTACCGCTGCAGGTATCACCCAGCTTGAAGTACAGCAGTGTAGGGCCGCCCCTATGCACACGCAAGCATGCAATCTCTCCGCAACGAGACAAATGCATACAGGGTGGGGCACCGCTGTAGGTGTTACGGTGTGGGGGGAGAACGGTTCAGGACTTTTAATTCACGGCGCAGTCTTTTCCCCGTGCGTATCAGCGATGGCAGCAATGACGTGATTGTCAGAGAGGGCGGTTGTTCATTTTATCGAATTTATGTTTGGTTTTGGGGAGGACACATTGCTCTTCTTTGCATGCTTTAGAAAACAACGATATCAAACCATTAGACTATAATAGTCAGCGCTGAAAAGTCTAATGGTTTGATTTCGGCTTCTATAATGCGTAGATACGAACGTTTGTCTTTCTTCGACTACAGGCGACACTCGCAAACGGGCTGACCAATGAAAAGACGTCAGTTTGATGCATACAGCGGTATGTTTGCGCACCACTTGGAGGTGCACCAGAGCACAAGGCAATCAGCCATTCAGCAGTGGAGTGGAATTTCTTTTTGTCGGCCATTCCCCCTGCGGTGCTTGCCATCACGAGCTTTTAACTCGAGAATATGCGAGGAAGGTTACCTGGGGTGCGTCGTTGTGCCTCTTGAGTCTGGACCGTACAGAAGAATACTCCAGGTGTCCGATCTAAGGTCTTGTTACTTCTCTGCGCTCATTTTCCCGGAAAGAACGTACACGATGCGAGTCATTTCCACGACCTCCTTCCGTGGTCCCCTCTTTCTTGTTGCTGGGATCGCACATAGAGTTTTTTTTTCTTTATGCTGCAGACAATCTTGAAGGGTCTACAGAAGAAGCCTACGTATGCATACATCCATTAGATAAGTCAGCGCTGCCTAGTCTAATGGTTTTTATTTCGGCTTCTTCTATTGGTGTTGTGCGACCGGCTGCAGGGTGTTGCCGGCAATAACGCCTCTCACCCCCTACTTTGAACGTTTGAACTACGAGTACGAAACATCTATCTATACCATCCTGTGCTCCCGCGGAAGAAGCAATGCATCTCACCACGTCAGGTGCTCCATTGATCCTGCTCGCTTCGATCCAAGGCATGGCGTACTTTGAGCACATTGTACAGTACCGCCATCTGCGCGTCGTGTTATCGCGGAATTGGTGTCGGTCTTCTTGTTTTTCACCCGATATGATTATTGCACGCATGTGTACGGCGTCGCAATCCATTGTATGCCGTAACACCCATTGCATGGTTATACCGCATCTCTTTCGGAGTAGCGTTATTGTAGTCTACCATGGTTATACCGCAGCTCCGCATAGTCATCGAGCGGCACTAGGGTCGTATTCTGTAGAGTACCCGCTTAGAAACGACACCCTGTGCTTGCTTTACACGATTCACGCCGCTCTGTGCCTTACATCTTGTCGTGACGCAGCAGCAAGTATCGCACTGCTGTCACAGCTGCCGGCCCGACAAAAGGATGCTCCCAGGCACTAGAAACATATAACGGTGTCTATCCACCCTATCGTAAGCTGTTCCTCCGCACACCCCTCTTGGGCCGCCGCTCCTTGCCTACCACGGCGGTGCTTGCCCGGCGATGCCATGCGAAACAACCAACAGCTCAAGCCGCTGGGCAGGGGCCACTACGGCGTAGTCAGACGGTGCATCAGCATCAAGACAGGGCAACAGTTCGCAATGAAGACCATCAGGAAGGCGAGAGTGTCCCGGGTCGAGAGCCTGCTGCGGGAGGTGCAGATACTGCGCAAGGTCAGCCATCCCAACATCATCGAGCTGGTGGACGTGTACGAGGATGAGATGAATCTGCACTTGGTGAGGGGCGACGCACTTCGTCCGTTGGTGGGGGGGGGGGGGGGGGTATCAGGGGGGGTATCAGCCCGAAAGAAGCTTCTTCGTGGTACATGTTCGTTTCGTCGCGAGTTTCTGAGGAGGTGACCGACAGCTCTTAGGAAGGAAAGTGGCCTCTGCTTTGTGGCTTCTACCGTGTACGTTTCGATCAACCATGCGGTATGATATGCTTCCGTGGTTCGGTAGGGTACGTTAAGTTGGCCACCCTGTCGCAGAGCGCGACACTACTGCTGCGGGACGTTGGCGCTTGTGCGACTTGGCAAGAATCCGGGTTTCCGACTTGTGCCGGTATCCTTCCTGTGCCTACTGGCGTATTATCGGAACTCCACATTGTTTAGGACGGCGGTGTTTCGGGCCCCCTACTGTTTGACGTCACCGACTCGCTAAATACGCATCAAAGTTGGGTGGATATTGCACCCATGGTTGTACAGCAGTACAGCTTGCGCCGTCGCTTTAAACCTTAAACCCTGGAGCGAAGCAACCTGGGGCTCGATTGGATTATTTTCAATGTTCATGGGCTTGAGCACGTGGTACTTGTTTATTTAGTATTGGTCTACGAGAGATGTACAAGATCTGGCCTATGTACCTATGTATGAAATATGTCATGGTATCTATCGGTGTGCACACAGCATCCAAAGAGGGCATACGGGTGATCGTGACGACTCTGGTGGGCGTCGACGCCTAGCGTTCAGGCTATCGTTTTCGCCGGTAACACTTTTGAGTACTTACGCCGACGACGCCTTGCGGCTCACGTATCGTTTTTCGACGACGCTTGAATGACCTATGTCGGTTCCCTCCGGCCTGGCTGTTGTCTTTTGCGGCGACGCTGAGCGGAGATCGGAACCGTTTTAAGTGTGAAGACAACAACAACAACAACAACAATACACTCGTGACGGTTCGGCGAGACCCCAGGTTACCGAGCTCTGTACCGGCGGCGAGCTGTTCGACCGCATCCTCGAGAAGACCGAGTCCGAGGAAGGGAGGTACAGCGAGCGCGACGCCATGACGCTGGTGACCAAGATACTGTCGGCGATTGCCTACTGCCACGACGAGCACAACATCTGCCACCGGTGGGTGGGGGGGAGGAGGAGGGGGAGGGGTAGTAGTAGTAGTAGGGGGAGGTGAAGGAGGAGGAGGAGGAGGAAGAGGAGGAGGGCGGTCGTTTTTGCTGTTGTTGATGTTGATTGTGGTCGGTGGTGGCGGCGGCGGTAGCGGCGGTGTGTGGTTGTGACTGGCTGCTGATGCTATCTACCAAACCGGCACTTTGGTTCCGGCAAATAGTTCAAGACTCTCCAGCCCCACACATACAGTAGTGCAACAGCAGTTGGCGCCCGCAATTGAGAATAGTTACGTTGGGAAGAATAGGGTCATGTTGTCGCGGAAATTGAGACATGGAACCTCGGCTCGAAATTGACGTCTTTCCTTGGCGCCAACTCTGTGCTGTTAAGTGACGCTCCTACTATTGCGAAGCGGCGTGCGCCTAAAATGTTTGATGATTCCCCCTGACTTGTGACAATGCTCGGGTTTCCAACTCTTGGTGCCCTTTGTCGGGAGGCTTGCCTTCGTCTTCGGCGTCTTTTCGCTCTGTGATAGCACCTGCTCGCTGCTGCTGTGTCGATTGATGATTCGCCCCCGCACGCCCAGGGACCTCAAGCCCGAAAACTTCTTGTTCAAGGATAAAGCCGACGACTCAGAGCTCAAGGTGCCTCCTGCTTGTTTTTTGTTTTCTATGGTGTTTCTGCTGTTGTGTTTTGAGCGTATTTTCTGCCGAAACGATTATCTCTCTCTCTCTCTCTCTCTCTCTGGTGGGTCGTGTTATCGTTGTCAGCGAAAGCGCAAGGTATGAAAGTATTGCTATCATCTCTATCTTAACGGTCGAGGCTTACGAGTTGCGTAGACCTCAAAAAACGAAAACACCTTGTCGAGGTGCGTGGTCGGTACAGCAAACACAAAACGGTAGTCACCCAGGACACCCTGTGTTCGAAACAGTTTTTCTGCTGAGGTGCGGAAACATCTCGTCTCGTCTCGTCTCGTCTTGTCTCGGTGTTGATCCGTACGGTGGTGGCGTGTGGCCTGTTGTGCAATGTGCAATGTTAACGTTACCCAGATCATCGACTTCGGTCTTTCGCGGTTCGAGGAGACCGACCAGATCATGACCACGCGGGTCGGCACTCCCTACTGTGAGTTACGCTATTAGTTTACTTTATGCCCAGCTACGTTCGGCGGCTAAACCAGCTACGGCCGCAGTAGCGGTGGTGAGAGTAAGATACGCAGCGCTATCATCTCAACGCAAGAGTTGCACCGCTTCCGGTGAACGACAACGACTCCGTCGGTCGATAAATATTCGACGATACGACAGGCGTGCATACTATGCCGTCGAAGTGTAGTCTTGGTCCGTAGTCGTGCATGCGAGCGCGCCATGGACAAGTAAGATGGTACAAGTTTCCCTTGGCCTTCTGTTTTCCATCTTTTTTTGTCACTTGTGGAAGTGTCCACCACCTCCTACCCCCCCACCCTCGGTGCGCTCGGTCTCTACGTTTCCTTTGCTCCAAAATCCACCTCAAGTACATTGCTAAGAACACCGTCCCCACCGTTGTGGCCATAGAAAACACACGCCTACAGTACCCCCCC